ATATCTCATAGAACCGCGCGCAATAGCAAAACCACCGCCAGGACCCCAAAGCTTGGTGCGGACAACGTCGAGTATGCACCATCCACAAGCGGCACCGCGATTTCAATCGTTGCATTCAGGCAGTCAAGGAGATTCGTGTCAATCCCCGTCGGAAGCGGCGTGTCTGAAGTGGAATTCTCCGCCATGAAGACCGCGGTGTTGTTGTAGCCGTCGAGGCTCAGCACGACGGAGCTCGCGCGATAATATTGCACCACCTGCTCGCCTGCGACGGCGCTAGCGTTGAACGGCGTGAGGGTGGTGGTCGTGATGCTCGATTGCATGAGGAAGGAGGAGCAGTTGACTGCATGAGATCGGCCAGAGTGGTGTTGTCGGCAATGAGTTTGAACGTGATCCCGATGGAGTTTGACTGGAACGCGGCGGTCGCCATCGCGCCACCTGGTCGAGAGGCATTGTCTGGGCAACCATACTATGGCAGATGTGTTAGACGGTAGGCAAAACATGAGGAAGATCGCACGCACTTCCTCTGAGTGAAGGTAGGCAGTGTTCGAGGCGTCGTTCACGACGGCTAACCACACCACCGGCCAGAAGTAGAATGGGAATCCCCGATCGGAAACGCCTCGGCTGTACAGTCCTGGATACCCGCTGCCGTATGCTCTGCGTGCATTGTCAGTCATCGACTCGGACGCGTGTCGTATTCGGGTCAACTCACCGGTTACCCCAGACTTGTCCGACGGGCTTGGCAAAACGGCTTCGCTTAGCGGAGTTTGAAATTGGCCGTGCGGGCTTGTGCGGCTTGGACCTATGCGGGCTTGGGCATGTCCTCCGAGTGTCCTCGGCTACACTATACATTCCCCCTGTAGTAGATATCTCCATTTCCGTGCTCTCTCGCCCTGGCTTAACACCTAACATGCATTGCCGTTGTCAGAACCTCTCGGCCGTCATCGCCGACGTAATTGATGGCATCTCCGACGCCAACAAAGTTGAAGACTGCTGTGTAGGCTTGGACGTCATTGAAACCTCGTGCCCTAGGCTTCCCCGCTGATTCCCGCCGCCACCACCATCGACCAAAACTGTTTCTTAATGTACAGATCAACAAAATACCCGCCGACATGACTTGCAACGCGCGAAACCCAAACACACTGGCTGCTCAGTCAGATACTCCGATACACCCATGGCAGTTTCTGCAGCAAGTAATGAAGGAACTCGCCGTATGTAATTTCCCCGCCACGGCGCCGACTGTGGGTTGTCATACAAATCAACTCGCACCGGAAAAGGTCGAGCCTCGGCTCCAGCCGGGCGAAGAGGCCTTATGCCTTACCTGACGACGACCGGACTGGGTTTGGCTTGTTGACTTGAAGCCCGGGCTTCAGTGAAATTCTTCGCCGCTGTGGCATGTGCTGCAGATCCTTCACCCAATATACTTAAATAAATCACGATGCGCAGCTTTGAAGACATACATGGAATGGTTTTCGGTCATCGACAACTTATTCCTATCCATGCAACATTGCGACTTTAACGAACACAAAGGAAGTCAAGCCAAGCCGCACAAGCCCAAGCCCAAGCCCAAGCCCAAGCCTGCTGTATTCTCAGAGAGTCCGAATTCGCTGTTCGATTCTCCTTCTCAGTGAGTTCACAACTAATGCAGTCAACACAAGCCAAGCCAAGCCTCTAAACCCAAGCCCAAGGACGCTGTTCGACGCAAGTTCAAGTCATTTTGCCAAGTCCGTCCAAGCGACATTGGAGAATTTACCTAATCGACTTTCATGAATTATTGTGGGTGGAATGGTCAGCGTTAACTATGGAAATATCAACGAGATAGTGAATGGTTGCCTGATGATCTTGTGTATTATAAGCCGGGCGTAAGCCTGTTTGCTTGTTGACGGCATTTGAAAAACAAGCCACTCTGCTCGGGCCCAAGTGCGGCCCACGCCCACAAGACCCACGCCCACAAGACCCACGCCCACAACCAAACGATGTCCCATTCATGCATACAGCATTATATGACAGCAGCATGTTAAAGATAGTTATGGGAGCCATGAGTACAATATATTCGGTTGAGTTGATTTTCATTTCCTCTGCAATGAATAGAAGGGCATTGCCTTACCTCAACCCCGTCACCTTAAAGGATACGGAGCGAAGAAAAATTCTGTTTGATCCATGATAGGGCTGTAGTAATGAATGGAATAGTTCTCACCGTTGGATAATGCACCAGCGGCATTCTCCGCATGTTGGCGCTTTTTTTGTTTTGTATACCACAACATAGTTGTAAAGACAACATAAACACACAATATCTGAGATCGGGAACATGCCTGATGCATATTATCGCTCTCAAACAGACTTTTTGGCGCAGAATATTAGCTTTTCTTCAGCCTCTTGTGTCCATACAGTACCAGTGCAACCGTAGACATTTTAAAACCATAAGTGTGAGAACTTGCCGTGCGAAGCAGCGGCCTTACCCACCAAGTGTTTTTGGAAAAACTTGCAACTCCGAGAGACGGTTTTGAGGTGAGGTGAGCGTTGAGAGCAAGATACGAAGGGTGGCTGTGTTGATCGAAGATCATGCCGTTCCTCTGACACTCACGCTGCAGCGCCGACACGAGCTCTGGCACAACGGGGCTGGAACTTTGCTGGCAGCGGCTCGGCGACTTCGTTCCATAGTTCATGGTCTCGTGAACCCCGTCAAATCTGGTGTAAAGCTGGGTCTGGAAGATCAAGAGCAGATATATATAACGCGGGCAACGATTCAGCTCCAGAAGATGTTCCTAGTCGCGTCCTACCCCGCCCCATTCCACCTCCGCGAGCATTCGTACTCGACTAGATGTCCCTCCCACATGAACCCGGCGCTGCAGCTCCTGCGCCCTCCCTTCGACATTTCCCGCGATGTCCCCGGCTCGCTGCCGTGACCGTCCCCGCAGAGTTCGTCTGCCGTGGCCTGCAGGTTGGTAAGTATCGCCTCCCTTACCAATCACACCTGCTCCCCAACATGACCATCCCGCGCTACAGACTCCTCTCGGCGCGCGCTCACCGTCCCGCTCTGCGCGGCTCCGCCGATGTCCTTCCCTCCCACCCGACGCACGTGCTCGCCATCTCGCCGGCATCGTCCAAGCTATCAAGCGGAAAGGCGTCGATTTTTGCGGTGCCCGATCGTTGTCCTCCCCCACGCACGCCGAGCGCAAGCGGCACGGCGACGCTGCCGATCCTGCCCTTCCCACTGCCCTGTTCACCATCCTCCACGCATACATGTACACCCACCGCGTCGACGTCGTCCTCGGCGCGCTCCTCCCCCTCTCCCCGTCCTTCATCGCGTCCCTCTCCGCCTTGTTCGGCAGCGGCGCTGCATACCATCGCCGCGACCCTCGCCTCGCCTCCGCACCTTCACGTCCTCGCCGCACACCTCGCGTCGGCCTCCTCCAATATCCCGACGCTACTGGACCACGCGGGCCACGTCAAGGAGCTCTGGCAGGACATGGTCGCGCTCAGCATGTACGACGCCTCGCTGTGGGATGCGCTGGGCGCGATGAATGTCGTCGCGCAGTGAGCATTGTGGGTGGGTTGTCTACTCTAGAAGCGGCTATTCGCTGCTGCCCGTGCTGCTATTCCGCCGCCGCTGCTCGACGCCGCTCTACGCGCGCTTCATCCCAAAATCATCTCATCCTCCATCATGTTTACTCTCTCTGCATTCCACAGGACTCACGATCATCGCACGACCCTGTAGCATTATTCTCGGTGTCTCTCCTACTCATGTATCGACATTTATCATCAACATTCATCATCCCTACTGGTTCCATATCTATACCATATGCCGACTGCCGACTGCATTTGCCGCAAGCCCCTCCCCTCTCCGTTCCGTTCTCTATTGCGTAGCGTTATACTACTGATAATCGGTCTTTCGGATAATGCGCTCCAGCGTCGAATTATATTCATGTTTGTGTTTCTACTCTACTCTGTATTTTTGGTGTGTCTCGTGTGAATTGGATATCCTGCAATCGAGCGCTCTGAACGCTGCCGAAAACAAAAAAGGAAAGAAAGAGAACGAAAGAGAAAAAAAAACAGGAAATTTGCGGGATGCATTGTCATGTCCCTGAGTGGATTCGAACCACCGGTTCTCTCGTAACTCCACGTCAACAAGCATTAAGGTAGGAGAGTGAGTTGCTGTACTCCACAGGGACTTGCCCTGTATATCAACCTGGGTATGAAGGCTGTGTACGCTACGTTGGCACAAATGACCTTGAGCAGCACTAGTAGATCCGTCAGTGTCTTCTGCAGCTCAACGTCGTGCGGCTTGAATATCCCGCAAGATTTCGAGATCGAACGCGACTCTGAGTTTGAACGCCGCTAAAACGAAAAACGAAAAACCCAAATAACAAAACAAAAAAAAACAAAAAAGACAAGACAGAAAGAAAGGCAAAATAAAGTGAAAAAGATCGTGCCCGCTGGTGGATTCGAACCACCGGCTCTCCCATAAATTTTTCACGATCGGTTCACTAACCAAAGGGAGTGAGCCGCCTTGCTCCAGACAGGCTTGCATATCAGTAGGCACAAATGCATTCAAGAGAACAAGAATTGACTGCAGGCCGGTGCTCAGAAATAAAATACGTATTTCCTTGGATGCCGGAGTTTATGAAGGATGAATGAAGGGAACCAGCGCAACGAAATTCCAGCTGAACTGCACACTAAATGGAGAAGGACCGCAAATCGCTGATCTATTCTCCGTAGGGTGAGGGAGTAGCTGTACTCATGGGTTGGTGATGGTAAGTATTATCGGTTGCGCTCACTTGCGTTATGGATCCAAAAATCGTATGGCGCAATTTGAAGTTTAAGTCCCTCAGAGGGCCCAACAAAGCCCCTGGCAAAGCGTTGGAGGCCTACGCGCTTACGGACCTACGGTTGCCAAGAACATCAAGCAACGGTCCAGATTGGGTCCAGATACAAAACTCAGGTTAACTTCACGCTAAAAACGGGGGAAAAAAGTAGAATAAAAAAATCACCTTGGCCAGGCGTGCCCGCGGGTGGATTCGAACCACCGGCTCTCCCCTAAATGGCTTAGCAAACTTTAAATTCAAGCGAAGGGAGCGAGCTACCTTGTTCCACGCGGACTTGAAATATCTACTCTAGGTGCTGGATATATAATAGAGTTTTATATCCATATTCATATTTGTCTTCTGCTCAAGTTCAACTTGACCGTGCTGAACAAGCTGCAAGACCCCGACTTCAAACGTCCCACTAAAACGAATGAAAGGAAGAAGGAAAACCATGGGTGGATGGCCTATGTTCGCGGGTGGATTCAAACCACCAGCTCTCCCGTAGATCGCTACATCTGAGATTCATACTCAAGGAAAGGGAGCGAGCAACCTCGTTGAAATTGATATTTGTGCTCCAGTAATTGTTGGATACATTTGGGACAAGGTGAAAATGTGCGGCCTTTCTCCACAGGTACTTGTAAGACATACTGCTTATGGCTGTTGAATATCCCAGTAACTTGCAGGCCTCCAAAATGAATTGACACTATGCAGCAGCGATTCAAGACAAGTCAAACGGGTATGTGGCAAAGTTACCCTCTCTTTAAAATTACTAGTGGTTTTAGGCCACTGCTCCGCATGGCGGTACGAGTCCCAATTTGGTTTGTTAGGTTAACAATTATATATTAAATACTTAACCCCATTATTGCGTGAATATTGACTGCAGCTTCAACATTGTTGAACATGCAGAATATTCTTTGAAATATATTGGGCTACTTGAAGGACAAAGAAGCACTTTCAGCGCATGATCTCAAAGGGGAACAGCAGTATCTGTGGAGGAGAGAGGGCTCTGATGTTATATGCAGAATCATTTGACAGTGAATTTGAATGTGGTGATAGCCTAGAACAACAATAGATACGAAGGAAAAGGCAAGTGTATACATGAAAGCAGGAGACATTTGACAGACAGCACTTTCATTGTAAATACTAAAACCAAGATGCAACCTTGAGTGGTTCGGCCCATGAATGGTATCTTGTTGCAGCAAATACCGAAGAGATAAGGGTTGAAGATTGCAGGAGATGCTCCAGGGAGTGGGCCATGGCAGAAGTTCCCGGTAGGCAAGATGTGATTTAGCATCACAAAGTGATCAGCCTGTTTCCAGCCATTTAGCCAAGCCACTCGGAGAAGTCTGTATATTTTCAACTCCAACCAGAGTCAATGTGGTGGAACCAGAATTCCAAGCTCTACAAACTCAGCACTGGAACTGATTTTTTTCTGTGTTTCCAAAGATCCAATCCATGATTTACACTTCGAAAACACTTTATTTCAATATTATCACCACTCTCATCGAGTCGCGTTTTGCGCCAACCCTTCCATCCAAGCAAGAAAATGTACTGCGAAAAGATCATGGACAACCTAATACGAACTTCGAACTGGATTCCCAATGTTCCGATATATATTCAACGCACGGCCGCTTGATCAACTTCACCTGTATTTCCGCTTGAATATTCAACTGTAACACCACGAGAAAAACAGCACCCACCTCGTATCAAGAGCATTGAGTGCAGGGAAGAGGCAAGACGTATCCCGCAATTCCCATATCAGTGTATTCCTCCGTCGTAATAAAAGCCAGTCTCTCCGATTCCGACGTGGTGTAGAAGTTGTCGGTCTGAGTGGATAGGTGATAGAACGGGACGCTTCCACAGATCTGCGTCGGATAGATATACGACTGGTCCACGGTTTCCAGGACGTATCCCTCCTGAATAGCAGTATCGCGCTCGGCGGTGGAGATCGTCCACAGATGCACGCTCTTGAGGATGAGGTGGTAAAACGGGACCGTCGACTCCTCCTGCGTGGCGAAAACCATGCCGGCGACTGTCTGCAGAGTGTATCCGCGGGACAGAATGGCAGCACTGAGATCGGTGACGTCGAAGCTGTAGAAATGGAGCGGGAAACTTGCTGCATAAATTCTGTAAAATGGAAGGGAATCCGCGGGATCGCCACAGGTTTCCTCCGACCGCGCCTGCTCGTACCGTCAGGGATTAAGATCCATTATTCACAATTTGAGACGCACCAGAGACCGAGGCGTGGTGGTAAGATTTTTCGCAGCGGTCAAACTGAGCGGGATGGAAAGCAGTGTCGCAAGTAAGATGCTGATCTTCATGGCTGGGATGAGGGAATAGTGGTAACTAGCCAATTATATAGAAAACGGAGGGTATGGTGGGTGGATGGAATGGTGCAACGCCGGACGGACGTCTAGAATGTGCGTTATGGCCGGAGGGCGCCAATTGGTTCAATTATGAATGCCAAGGAGAAAGGCAGGGAAGTTCAACCGGCGCGTATCGGTTGACAGCCCTATTAGCGCCGGACTGGATGTTAGACTCATCAGAACTTGTGGTATGATGGAATTCCAACATTGAATGATTAGGGTTACCGATGGGTTCGGCCAAGTGATCTGGATGGTCTATTGGAAGGCGTGGCGTTTATTTTGAGGGTTGAACACTGCGGCTTCAAGTTTAACATGTGGACGTTTCCCGACCTTCGTGCTGGATGCCGTCTCTTGTTCGTAGTCCCCAAGTCCTAGGAAATCGGCTTGGTACAGTATGGTAGGGTTGGATGGACAACTTGGTCGACTCTCTCCTAATTCATAGCTGTCATAACCCATAACCTCGAGCCCCTAGATTTCTGGGTCCTAATACTGCCCCATACGCCATACTTCTTTGGGGGGGTATATAAATTCTGTCCAAAACTCTGCAGTTGGCATGAAAAATATACATCGAACCCTCCGTGTGACATTTGCGAACAACATCAAGCTCCGGCTACGCCACGGCCTCGACAGTGCATCAAATCGAGCTGGGTCTAGGCACCTCAACACGGGGTCTCTAGCCAGGCCAGGCAGCGGCATCTTGACACAGCGTTCGGCTAGGCTCTGGCGAGACGTCTCAAAATGACATTGCCGAGCAATTGACTAAATGCAGTGAAAAAAAGAACTTCCAGCTGAATTAGACGAAATGATGCTGCCAGGGGAAGTGCGTCAAGCCCGGAGATGAGGCAACGCGAATTCTAAATGGCGGAGACGCAACCCGAAACAATTGCCTGAAATGGATGTCCAACTTGGCGCCATGCGAAGTTCTGGTTTGAAGAAGACGGGAGATTTTCTGTGGAAGGGCATCTCGTGCTTCATACCCGATGTCATTCTCTAGCGCTACTGAGGTAGTTCCGATTCATCAAGTGCCTCTTTGTTGATCAGAATGGACGAAGGTGGACGGGACGTCGTCTCTGGGAAGCGCTCACTATCGGCCAGACACCAGAGACTTAGTCTGATATATGTGAAGGTGCAGAGGCTGAAGTCGGAGCAAACGGCTCAATAGGAGCGTTCCAAAGTTCATGGCGGAAATGTTCGATGCCCGCCTAGTTTCTCTTGTTAAGATTTACAAGAGCGCGCTGAGAAAATGGGCGCTAAGAGGCGGGCGGTAGCGGTAGAGGGAGGTACGTCTGAACTTAGGTCGACGTCCGACAATGGAATGCTAAGTTGAAGAAGTATCGGATAATCTTGACTTATCATCCAGGCGTGGACTAAGTCGATAGGCGCTCGAGATTGACATCTGAGATGAAGGGGCAGATGCACCGCCTCTTCGAATCAGAACAGCGGATGGCACCACTTTGAAGAAAGGAAAGGCTAAAAGAAAGTGAAAGTGGATGGTGGAGGAAAAGATAGGTGAAATAATAGACGGGGTAGAATGGAGAGGTGCCGATGGCGACGAATCAGCCTCCTCAGAGCGGACGTGACGAGGCTACGACAACCCGGCGAGGCGACACTCACGCGGCCCATTCCGACGAGCCCCCTCACCCATTCGCATTTCCCTTCCCGTGCAACATCATTCTTGTCTTTTCCCCTCCCGCCCAACCCTCCCTTTCCTGTCCCATTCCTCTCCCTTCCCTAGCTCGTCCCTTCGATGGGCACAGTGCCCAAATACGGACCACGGACACGCACGACGCCGAAACACGAATACACACTGGGAGAGTCGAGGCGCAGGAGGAGTCGAGAGCATGGCGAGGTGCAAGGTGCGGTGGCTTCGGCTCCGAATCAGAGGCGCGCGGAGGACGGGGCGTCGATTAGTCTGCGAGTATGTGGGCAGGGAAAGGAGGGGTGTGGATGGGAATGGATGCAGGGCGAAAGAAGGAAAGGAAGGATAAGACGCACGACCTGATCCTCCCTGGCTGTCCTTTACGATACGACAGCTCGAGGTACGCGTTGGACGCTCGGTGCCAAGTCGAGGCTGTGGTCACACTGGCAGCGCTTACCTCAGGCTAGGACTTGAGGTAATTTTCGCTCTTTTGATGGCCTTGGGCGTGAATCGGAGAGAAAGGACGCAAGGAGACAGAAACTTGTTTCTGGAAAAGCTTGCAACTCCGAGACAGAGGCTTGTCAGATGGTTTTGAGGTGAGGTGAGCGTTGAGACGGGATAAACGAAACTATTCCCGCGCGCACATTCCCAAACATGGTACATTCACATCAAACGGTGCACATTGAGATCAACCAGTGCACATCCGTCGTGAATGTGCACTTCTTGTGCGCAAACATGGCACATTCCAAGCGACATCGTGGGCCCTTCGGTGATCTCGGGACTCTACGGTTCCAATCGGTATAGGTGTACATTCAACCATCACTCCATTCACAACCTTTTTCAAAGTTGAACCTTAATAGATACACAGTACCAACTCTTTTACTGAATGTGAACTACAAAAACAACAATCATGTACGTTTTGAGACATTCTTCCCCCCCCCTGCGTTCCGTGTGAAAGATCGTGTTACATGCACCCCGGACCATCAAAGTTGACGAAGACTGGTGTGCGGCGGCTTAAGCTTGTCGGGACTCGGCGGACAAATAATGCGCTGGAGGGACCGGTTTTCCGCTCGAGATCGGCTGCATTTATTGAAGGGACTGGGTATAAGAGTCTGGTCACCAACGCCGCTGTGCGCGCGCGCTTATCGCGTATCACGTAGTACTAGTACGACGGGGAAAAGGGTTATGCATGGCTGTGAGTGACGGGTTCGATGGCGCACCTGGGTCCACATTGACTCACTCCCAAACGGGTTCTATTTTAGCCCCCCATGTGTCCACGCCAGTGATCGC